ATATCTGGGAGAGGTCATTTCTCCTTCTCTTAATAGCATTATGACAAACAACTATTGGAATAATTATAAATGTATAACTGTCGATCTAGATAGATGGGTCAAATTCCCCATTTCTCTTCAGGCTCACGTCTCCATAGTAAAAATGGACATCCTACCACGGGTAAACTTCTTTTCCTCCATGTTGCCATTACCACCACTACTGGACATACTAGGACAAGATTCAGTCACTTGTGACTAAATTCATTTGGGGAGGGAAGCGACCCTGTGTTAAGTTATCCACACTGCGACGTCATAAATCATCAGGAGGTCTCTCCGTCCCAAATTTTAAATACTATTCCTGGTCATTTGTCCTAAGGCCTATCTCATCCTGGTTTAACCCTGATGCTGTGGTGTCATGGAAACCTATAGAGGAATACATAGCCCATCCTCATAGATTAAAGGATTTAGTTTACTCTGCCATACCACTAAAACATGCCAAACTCCATCTTAGTCCTATCAATATGGCGCAAAACAGAAAGAGAATCGAAAACAAGTCAGAAGTGGCACACAGCCCTATATTTCATAATAATTCCCTTCTAACTGGGTCTGTTCCATTTGCATCTCCAGTGTGGGAGAGCATCCATACAAGTGTGTACATCCATGTACATCCAGCAAGTGTGGTCTAGGGAACTGGAGGTAGCTTTGGAGGATGATAGTTAGAAAAAGATATGGGGAACTATCGTTGACTCTTCCAAAAACCCAAACCTCCAACTAATACACCTTAACTTCATTCACAGAACCTATCTTACACCCAGGAAACGTTACCTTATGAAACTGTCTTCTTTATCAAGTTGTGATCTCTGCTCAGATACTCATGTTGGCTCATTTATGCACACGTCTTGGGAATGCATGTAGCAAAATTTTGGAGACAAGTTTGCCTTATTTTATCTAGAATCTTAAATTGTGATATACCTTTGCACTCACACAAGACTACCCTACAACTTGCATACTCACAAAAACGCATAATGTTAGCTGGACTTACTGCCGCAAGAAAGATGTTGGCTCTCCGCTGGCAACTTTCACATGTTCTCTCAATATCACAGTGGATTAATACTTATCTTGAGGTAGTTAACATGGAACTTTCTGTAGCCAAAATCCATGGTGCCAATAGAAACACCATATCATCTTGGACGTTGATTTTAACTATAATTGAAGCATTATTAACTACCAATAAGTAAAAGAACTGTGTATTATTGAGAAACAAGTGAATGTTAATGTGATGAATTGCCCTTTAATACTTGGTGTTTTCTACATTTCCCAAAAGACTTAATACACCTCAATTCATAAACTGTTACCTGTGTTGACATATGTGGATTTTATTTTGAATGTGTAGAGAAATGTGTTTTGAGTGTATGAACATGTATGTGTGAATACATGCATCCATATACAGATGCAATTACATCACATATGCAATATGTAAAATAATGTAGTCAGGGGAGTGCGACTTTCTAACTAAGTTAGTTGAATTGTAGAATATTTTCCAGAACTTGTGTTTATAGTTAGAGATCTTACGGGGGAGGGGGAGGGGGGGTTGGTCGCCACGGGAAACAGGGAGTTTATAGAAATGCAGATTAGGATTTTCCTATTAATGATATGTTTGATAAATTCATAATGTTGATTCCTCAGATATGTGATATATAAATGTATATGTTGCCTGAAAATGAAAATCAATAAAAAAAAATTGATCAAAAAAAAGTTAGAAAAACAAACCTGTTCTAAAAATAATAAAGACAGATGAAAGTTTTCAGAGTGCAAACATGATCGACTCAACATGAGATTGTATTTGTTTTTTCAACATGCAGCAAAACAGACTCAGTGTGTGTGTGTACAAACATGACTGTCAGGATTCATTGATGAAAACACTTACTTGATTGGGTTGTTTTTTTCAGATTTTTTTTAATTAATCTTTTTTTCCTTTTGACTGATCACTGTGGAGGGATAGATCAGATGGACGTGATGATTGGGCGCCATCACTGTTGTTACGAGCTAGCACCGGCTACACATATACATACAGCAAAACTAGCCCTAACCTGAAGTGTGACAGAGAAGTCAAGAGATGACAGGTACGGAAAGGACTGATTCTCACATCAGGGTTAGGTCAGCTATACGCGGGTCTGCCGGGGCTCCGACGGCCTGATCGCACCGGACGAGCCCAAGCTTTGTGTTTGAGTTCAGTTTTGTTTGTTGTAGTTGGATCACATAAGATACGGCTGGTTACTAAAACAAGTTGATGGGAGTGGGTCATCTGTTCGGTCTGACAGCTTCCAAGTTGGCGTCCATACGGGTCCTCTGTCAGCTGCCACTTTACCTGTCGTATTACGTAATTTAAAGCGACAGAGCACCGCTCTGAGCGCACCTCAGGAATGGTGCGTTCAAGACTATCGGACAAACCAGTAAACACAGCTTAAACCCATTCTCTATTCTCCCCATGAAAACCAGTCCAAAGTGATTAACAAAACAGACAGATAAGGATGAAGAAGAAGAACCTTACCGATTCCTAACATTCCTTCCCCCTTATAACAAAAACTTTTCTTTTTTTTTATGATCCAACCTTTTATTTTTTATCATTTTTATATTAATGTTTTTTTTTCCTTTTCTTAAAACTGAGACATTTGCATGATGTCTACTTTGGAGTTGAGATTGACTATTTATTTCTATCTAAAAATGTATCTATCTTAGTAGTCGCATCACTCAACTTCTTCAAGTCTGTACACTACTATTATAACAATGTCAACACCTAAACACTTTCGACAGGGTGTCGGCTATCACATTTTCTATCACATTTTCTTTACCCGGTAAATGCCGGACTGTCAGGTTATATGGCTGGAGAATCAGACTCCACCGGAAAACTCTCTGACTTGAGGTTTTGAACTTTGCAAGAAAAGTAAGTGGATTATGATCTGTCAGAAGCTCCAGATCCCCACCACTACTAGAGACATAAACCTCAAAGTGTTGAGAACAAGAGCTAGGGCCTCCTTCTCTATGGTGGAATAACGCTTTTGATGGCGATTCAGTTTCTTAGAGAAGTAGGCAACAGGCCTGTCTATTCCTGACCCATCAGTCTGCAACAGCACCGCCCCCACTCCTACATCACAAGCATCAACAGCCAGCTTCAATGGGGCTGAAAAGTCAGGAGCAACCAGTACTGGCTCACTAGCGAGGATGGCTTTAACCATCTCCAGAGCTTTTTGATAATCTACTGACCAACTAAACTTGACCCCCTTTTTTAGCAGGTTAGTAAGTGGTGTCGTCACAGCAGCAAAGTTAGGAACAAAACGACGGTAAAAGCCAGACATACCTAAGAGGCGCATCAGCTGATGTTCAGACTAAAGACTAAAAACTAAAACAAACCACATCGTCTAAATATGTCACAGTGTTTTTCAGTCCAGAGGTTATTGAGTTCATTAACCTTTGGAACGTTGCTGGCGCAACCAGACAACGATACAAACACTCAGGCGTCACAAACGCAGATACTTCCTTTGCCCGATCTGTCAAGAGCACCTGCCAATATCCTTTCAATAAGTCAAATTTTGACACGTACTGAGCGCTGCCAATCTTGTCAATGCTTGTCTTCCAGTCTCGGTATAGGACATGCATCAGTTTTAGTTACATTATTTACCTTTCGGCAATCAATACAAGGACGAACAGTCAAATCTGGCTTTGGAACAGGGACTAAAGGAGAACTCCACTCACTTGAACCCTGTTCAATCGCACCAATTTCTTCCATATACAGAAGCTCTGGTAAGACCAAGAACACCTTGCAGCAACCAGGACCGGTTTGCACCTGTGTCCCTCAAGATGTTGACAGGGACCTTTTCACCCTCAGAGGTACAAGAAACAGCACCTTTGGACACAAAACCCTCAAATCCTTCCATTATTGGGCTAAACAGCAGGTTAAAACTGCCAATGTCACCAGGAATGGTCTGAATCTGGGCACCAATCAACCCCACAATATTGGCTTCGCCATTTTTCTTTTTAAGACTCAGGCATTTGGACTTCAAATGGCCGGGCCTTTTGCAGTAATGACAAATAATGTAATTCCTAGATACGTGTGACTTGTCATGCCTCTTCTATGAACCTTGTGGCTGAGCAAAGGTAGGAGCAGACTTTGTCATGACAGCCTCAACAGGTCTGTCAGAAACTCCCTGTCTACCAACTTTACCTTTCCAAGGCCCATCTCTATGTGTGCTTCTTTATTACAAATGAAATATGAAGAGCAAAGCAGACACTGAGCAACACATTAAACACTGTGTTGTTTCTTTATTCCATGAATGACACAAAGGATCAAAGTAGAGAGGAGGTGTTGATGTTTCAGTCAAACATTTCACTTGAAAACTCAACATCACTTCAACATCTTTTAAACAGGAGCATGGCGTTTGCTTTACATCAACCATGGGGGTTGTTTCATCTTTAAGGTCTTTGCACACTGAGTCTGTTTTTTTAAAATGTGTTTTTCAGATCTGTAATCCGATCAAAACGTTACACAGGAACCTCGCACTCTGAGTCAGATGTGTTCATTCTTCTCTTCATTCTGAAAATTGTCAGTGTGAGACAGAATGGAGTCATCGAGCCGTGAGGATGACTTTGTGATTCTTTCAGTCCTTAAAAAATCAATAAATAAAAACCTCTGGGTCCACCCACTCCTGAAAACAAGACAAGAGCCAGGAGAGTTTCCCCTGTTGATAAAAGAGCTGCAGAATGATCAGCATCACTTCAGGTGTATTTCAGGATGTCAGAGTTTGATACGCTGCTAGCTATACTGAAACTACACATTAAAGGAACACCACCAATTTACACACAGAAACTGATCCTGAACACGGATTGGAAGGATGCAAAAAACGTTAGAAAAACAAACCTGTTGTGAAAATAATAAAGACAGATGAAAGTTTTCAGAGTGCAAACATGATCAACTCAACATGAGATTGTATTTGTTTTTTAAACATGCAGCAAAACAGACTCAGTGTGTGTGTGTGTACAAACATGACTGTCAGGATTCATTGTTGAAAACACTTACTTGTTTTGGAAATTAATTCTTTTGTCATTTGACTGAGTACTGCAGGTGGATTCACGAGGTGGACATGACGATTGGTTGTCATCACTGAGAATGTTGAAAAAGAGAGAAAGATTGGATAGTTAGATATCAAACCACAACAACAGATGAAAAACTAAAACTTCTAAATTAGACATCGATCCAGTAAGATTTGATTTAGTTCACTCTGAATGATAAACTCCTGATTCTTACATGAACTTTAAACCTGATCAACCTGACTATTTGGAACATTTCTGGACCAACAGCAACAACAAGTTTGAAAAATAAAACATTTAAAGAAAGTCCATAACTTCATCAAAACAAAGAACTTCAGAGAGAATGTGTGTGTTGTTAATCATCATCCAGTGTTTGATGAAAGTAGCAGCGTGTTGAGATTTGAAATAAGAAAATTGCTTAAAGGTGTAATAAGTAGATTTTTAAAAATTCACTAAACATCAGTTGTATTTTTTTGTTGAGTACTAAGTTGAGTGGTTAGTGCGCGCGCCCAATATATAGAGGGTTTGAATCCGACCTGTGGCTCCTTTCCCGCATGTCACTCCCCACTCTCTGTCCCTGATTTCCAAATCTATCCGCTTATCTGTCCTAAAACGAAATCTTTAAAAAATAAATAAAAAAATGTGATACTCAAGTCCGTGTGAAAGCACTCGATGTCAGTTTTAACTGATACGGTTAAGCCTCATCAAAATATTGATATTTTTAAAACTGTCAGTCTGAATAAGATGTAAGCACATTTCACTCACAGACTGACAGATGAGTATCCTGAGTCTATATCATCATCTGCTGCTTCAGCGCCATCTATCTTCAGGTGGGAGAAGGTCGAGTCGGGCCTGTAACAATAAACACGGTTATGATGCAACTTCACCAGAAAAAAGTTCATATCAAAAGAAAATCCAGATTATTTTTAAATATGATATAAAACAGTGGAATCAGTAAAAGAGGTTATGAGTTTTCTTTGTCATTTTATAAAATGTTCAACAAACAGGTGACTGATGACCTAGCAGATCGTAACGTCTCATGTATGGAGGTTAAAGCCATCCAAGTGGACGACCCGGGGTTCAACCTTTTTGACAAGCAACAGAGTCTGCTTTATGATGCTATAATGTCAATGTCTGCCTTTCTATCAACATGTAAACCAGAGGCAGTAGCATTCTTCTCTCTCTCCTTTGACTAATCCCTCCTGAAGGACGGACCAGATGAATCTGACAACTTTCTGTCATTAGATCAAACCCAGAAACTGCTTGATTCCAAAAACAATATGTACCACCACAAAGTGAAAAACCCTTTTGAATGTTTTTCTGGCTCTGCTGCTGAGAAGAAGACCTCAGGGTGGGAATCATATTACCAGAAGAGTTCAGTTAAAAAGTACTTTCCTATCAATGGATTTACATTTACATATATTTTTCTCTGAACAAGCAAACTGTGGAAATTTGACTGTTTGAGATCAAACCACATGCAGCAACTGGTCCTTACAGGGAAACTATGAAGAATGCATCAGATTTTCCTTTTAGAATATGATATAAAGCAGATTGTGTTCGCTCTGAATGGATGTCTCCTCTTTAAAAAGAAGACTCCTCTTTTCTCTTGACTATGTCGAGTCGTTTAAATCATCTAGAAAGGAGGTCGTTTTTATTGACTTTGTGAATATGTTCAGCACAGAGAACAGGATTAAACCAGATGAACTTTGATTTGAAGTATGCTGTTTTCTCTTCAGGTCAAACACTAACAGCAGAAATGTTCACTCATATAGATGTTAAAAATCTAAATAACGTGATGTTGACTTATTCATTAAACCAGTGTTTTAACCTGTGGTTCCTCACTGAGTCAGGCATACTGAGTTCTTCAGACTCTGGTCTCTGCACGGCTCTGGGTTGAAAAAGAGAATTCCCATTTCCTCCTTAACGGACACACACAAATAAACACTTTTATCATTATAGAAGGAAACTGTTGCACTTCAGCCACTCCACAAATGGAGGTTGGCTCTCAGAGAAGGACTTTAAGACGTACTGAATTATATTTTTTACCTAAATCACAACTTTAAAACTTGCAGAGCACACTGATCTGACTGTGTTTATATTTCAAGTTCAGAACAACATTAAAAACTAAAACGTGTGTTTCAAGACTTATTTCAAATGTAAAACAAGAACACACGTCATTATTTTCCCTTTAAAAGTCTAAAAAACAAACAATAAAATAAACTACATCTGATTAGTTTGAGGATTTAGAAACACTGGATGGTACAACAGGCCTAGTTTTACATTTATTAAAAGTTATTTATTTAAACAGACTTCTAAAATAAACATCTGGAGGCGCTGGTAGTCTGGTGATTGTTATGAGCGCTACATGTAGACTACTGTGGACCTCCAAGCGGGCGGCCAAGGTTTGAATCCGACCTGTGGCTCCTCTCCCGCATGTCATTCCTCTCTCTCTCTCTCTCTCTCTCTCTCTCTCTCATTTCTGACTCTATCCACTGTCCTGTCTTAAAATGAAGGCTTAAAAACCCAAAATAAACATTTTTGTCTAACCTAAAAAAGTTATTCAAACTAAAGTGTAGGTTTAAATAATGACGTCAAATTGTCCTTTAATATTAATCAACTTTTCTAAAAGTTATCAATATGTAGACTAACAAATGTTATCTTAGGTTTTATAGCGTAAAGGCTGCTGACGTGTTTCTTTATTTTGTACCCGAGCTTCTGAAGATTTTGAAAAAGTAAACACCATTAAACCAACTTCTAAATACTGAAATAAAGCTTATGAAGAATTCTTTACCCGTATGAGTTCACTCAAACTCAGATTAATTTCTCAGTTTCGTCTAAAAATGTTGTTCGTCTCAGGCCTCACAGGATGTATCTCTTTAAATCCAGCGGTGGTAAAAACACGGATATAAAATAAAGAAAACACGTCCTCTATACATTTTCTGACAAACTTTCCAAACAGAAGGACACAATTAAATAAATTACTTTCTTTAAGCAACATAAAACATGCATAAACGTTACCTTTAGATGGAGAAAAACAAACTGCGACACAGATTGATAAAGAAAGTAATTCAGACCTTAAACCACACTTGTTCTTCTTTAACCCCTTACACAATGCACAGACTACATTAAAGAGGAAGAAGCTGCAGGAGAACTCACCTAGTTCTCTCTCTCTCCTCACTCGCTCACCCACACACATACGCACTGAGCCATTCACAGACAGACAGAGGCCTACCCTGCTCGTATAACAGGAGGACAAGAAACTAACGCAGAAATCCTTTGTCTCTTGTCCTTTCAAAAAAAGAAAATGTCATACTCATCATGGTAGTTGTTTTATCATAGCCTTCTTATAGGCCTAAAATAAATACATACAGGTATTTGTTTTCACAACTTCTATGGCAACTTTTCTGTGTTACTTATATAGCCTACTTCATAAAGCACAATTGTATCTGTCTGACAACTTTGAGTGGCGGCAGTGATACGGAGGAATCTTTCTGAAAAGCAGCCGCACACTCCATTGGTTGTATAGCGCAATTGCGGTCCACTTTTCTTTTTTTTTTTAATTGATAAAAAACAAAAAAAAAACAGTTAACTGTGTACACGGAAAAAATGACGTTGTGTAACCGTTTACAATTTTCTGCAGTCGTTCACACCCCTAATGATAATAAATGGAAAACACGTCCTCTATACATTTTCTGACAAACTTTCTCAAACAGAAGGCACATTAAATAAATTCTTTCTTTAAGGTCTATAAAACATGAATAAAACGTTACCTTTAGATGGAGAAAAACAAACTGCGACACAGGTTGATAATGAAAGTATTCAGTGGCCTTAAACCTTAAACAAACAAACTGTTCTCCTTTAAACCCTTACACATTACACAGACTAATTAAACAGGAAGAAGCTGCAGGAGAACAGATCTGAACACAGTTAATGTATAAACCATGTTCAGTAGGTTGTCTTTACCCAAAGTGTTTTCTTAAATAGCTCTGATTTTGCCTGAAGCCCCAAAATAAACCTTTTTGTCTAACCTAATAAAGTTATTCTAACTAAAGTGTAGGTTTAAATAATGACGTCAAATTGTCCTTTAATATTAATTAACTTTTATAAAAGTTACCAATATGTAGACTAACAAATGTTATCTTAGGTTTTATAGTTTATTAAAATGGCAGCTGACGTTTTTCTTTGTTTGTACCCGAGCTTCTGAAGATATGAAAAGTAAACACCATTAAACCAACTTCTTAGTATGACGGAGGACTAGGGCCATTTTAAAGAAAACAAAATCCAGAATTTCGAGAATAAACACGTACATTTACGAGAATAAAATCATAAATTTGGAAGATTAATCTTGTAAATGTACGAGTTGGAGACCAGCCTGCGAGTAAATGATGAAAGTAGAACTCTTAAAGTATTTTCCTCTGCAGACACTTCCTGCACGTCAGTGTGGTTCTTTCTTCAGTTTCTTGCAGTATCTTTTCAGGGTGCTGATATTTTATGACAATGTGAAGATGATGTGCCAAAAGCATGTGTAGTTCATATCTGTATAAGTAAAGCCCCAACACAACTATTTGTGTCTGTTATCTGTCTGCCTTGTTAAAGTGTCTCATGTGCAGACAGTTTGTGTCCTCTTTCATTTGACAGACAAACAAGGTCTTGCAAATTGAAGTGAAACTTCTCTTGACTAACTGTTTTACCGACAACACAAGAAGTAGCCTATTTCCTTATTAGTGAAACCTTTCTAAAGTATTAGAAGATGCTCCATGTTTGTCATTTCAGAACAGGTTACCTCCGTACATCTCAGTCTCACAGGATGTATCCCTTCAACATCAGCGGTGGTAAAAACACAGATATAAAATAAAGAAAACACGTCCTCTATACATTTTCTGACAAACTTTCCAAACAGAAGGACACAAATAATAAAATTACTTTTTTAAGGTATATAAAACATGCATAGACGTTACCTTTAGATGGAGAAAAACAAACTGCGACACAGATTGATAATGGAAGTAATTCAGCAACCACACTTGTTCTTCTTTAACCCAACCCTTAAACATTACACAGACTACATTAAAGAGGAAGAAGCTGCAGGAGAACAGATCTGAACACAGTTAATGTATAAACATGTTCAGTAGGTTGTCTTTACCCAAAGTGTTTTCTTAAATAGCTCTGATTTTAGAATATTATTGACTCTGGTTCTTCAGAAGCTTCTTCCAGAGAAGTGGTGACTACTGCTCAGTCTGTGTTTTTTAACAGAGCAGACACTAATGTGATGTTAGTGTAACAGTGTTAATGATTCACTTATTTCACTAGCTTTGATTGTGCTGATACAGTTTTACAATGTAGGACTTAAAACATCACAACTTCACAACTTGGATATAATCGACATTTCCCACTCCTCATTAAGACTTTTAATGGCCCTTATAGCTGTCATCAGGATCAGTTAGGCCTGCACACTTTAAGTTCTTCATTTTGAGTTAAATATAACAACAATATACATTTTTAATAAAAAATATTTTCATTATAAAACATTAATATAATCAAGAATATCTCTATAAGAGGAGCTTTCTGTTATTTCTGTGGTTGGGGGCGGACATCATTAAGAGTTGTGTTCCTCACCTGGCCAGGAGAGGCAGAGCACGTGGCAGGTTGATCACAGGAGGATGTTTGAGAGTGGTTCTGTGTATCATTCAAAAGTTTAATAAAGAGAAGACTGACCCATGAGTGAAGTTTCCTTTACCCCCCTTTCGGTTGATGCAGCCCATGAGGTGAACTGTTGTGTTCTGGTTGTTGTTTCTATATTATAGCCTACCTGAAGCTAATGGCTAATATGTTAATAGTAAAGCTAATGGCTAACATGCTAACAGGCTAAACTAGTGGCAATCATGATAGCATGAATGACAGCCTGCCATTGTAGTCCATGTTTAAAAAGCTACATTGTGTAAATATGTCAATTTGTGTTTGTGACATGTTTTTGATGCTCTCTTATTTTATGCTTTGTATATTTTGTTTAGTTCTCACAGCATGATTGATGGCATGGACATGCTCATGAATACCTGTAGCTCAAAGAACACCTTGGTTTCATGATTTCAACTTGAGGTTAGTAACAGCCATTCACGTGCTCATAACTCGTAAACGGGACATTTCCGAGGAGCACATCAAGGCAGCGTAGTCTCACCCCTGTTCTTCTTAAACCACACCCCTCAAATGAATAAAAATGTAAACTACATACCTGATGTTCTTCATTCTGCCGCTGAAGCACAAAGGAGCTCTGTGCTACGTCTTCTAGCGTCCATGTTTGTTGCTTTGTGTGCTTATGAAAAGTGTCATCAGTAGAAGTGACGATATAGGATAGGATAGGATGGTACTTTATTGATCCCCATAGGAGAAATTCGGGCGTTGCAGCAGCAGACAAGGTCATACAGAATACAATATAATCAGGTTAATGAGCGGATGTTGTTTGCAAATTTAAAAAAACATACAATTAATGAAAAACATTACTTGGCTTCACAGACCACACCACTGCAAATTACCTATTGATGGCCATATGATGGCTCCTACACGTGTATATACCTTTATAAAAGGAGAGATTCAAGTTTAGCATTGTTTGAAAAAAACATGGAAAGTTGTTTATCGTTCCTCTATTGAAATAAAGGTGGGTATGTCGTGATTGGCTGAATAGGAAGGAGACATCTGATTGGCTACAGACATTTCCCTGCTGTAAAAAATGTTTTGTGAAAAAAAATCATTCATTATTTTAAATGTTTCATGATTAAAGATAGATGATGATGAATGTGCCGTCACTCAATGATGTTTAGATCCCAACTCCAGCAAACTTCTGGGATGTAGGGAGACTCGACCAGGCCCCTTTCCTGATAAAAACCCATAGACAGAACTTCAATTACAGACAGTACTACTAAAAGGTCCATTTAGAGTTGTATAATCTTTTGGTTCATAACATCTGTTCATAGTGAAAAAAGGATGCACAACACGATTTCTACAAGATGTATAAATGACAAAAAAGCTGCAAGATGGTGGTGACCTCTTACAAATAATCCAAGCGCTGTCTCAAACAGTCACTCATAACTGATGAAACTTTATTAGCAGAATCAGCTTTATTGTCCAGATATGCTTAATCACACAAGGAATTTTACTTTGGTAAACTGTGCTCTCTTTGTACAAAGGTATAATATTAAATATCAACAATAAACAAATAAGCAAAGACTAATATGTACAAGGCTAAATAGGCTAAATGCACAAAAACGTCCAATAACTGGGAACTGGCTCCTTGAGCTCCTCTCTCTCTCTTCCTCTTTCTCTCTCTGAATTCATATCATATGACTGCATGTTGAAAAGTATCTGCTGCGTTCACATTTCAGCTCACCCTGAAAAAGGGGACGTCTGCAAAACGTGACTTTTGAAACACTCAAAACCAGCAAGACGTTTTCTCAAAAGGGGAATTCGCTGACTTTCAACCAGCTGCGTACCACAAGTCCTATTCGGACTGCTGTTTCAATATTTACGTCCCTGTGATGGTTCACCTTCAATCTGAATGTTGCAGAGGTGTAATGTGGGGAAGAAGTGATCCCCCTCTATACCATCTTCAGAGGTAGTAACACAGAAGCATTACAGCAGCTGAAAGAACAGCGCTGTGTGTGTGTGTGTGTGTGTGTGTGTGCATGATAATGTATGTGTGGTCATGGAAAAATTTGTACTAATTCCAGTGACATTTGAATGTTGATAAAATCTTACCTGAAACAAATGTATAGTTCAGCAGAATGTTTTTTCTTGGGCCTAAATTTGTTGGGAAGAGAGAGGAGAGAGATTAGATCGTTAGATATTAAACATTAGCAACTGCTGAACAGAGAAATCGCAAAGTAGGAATATGTGCAGTCAAAGTTAATTGTCTTCAATCAGAAGAGGTTTCCCATGCTTCTCACATAATATGAAACCTTGTGGCCTATAGGGCTCAACAGTGTGGATCCAGAAGTAGAACTCCCATTCATTTTCTCCATTGTGGATTTGATTATTAGCCATAACATCATCATAACCATCCAAAGTAGACTGACCACGAGCTACATGAGTGCGAAACGATGGCATGC